GATAAGTAGAAAGCATATTTACACAGGATGTTATTTTTGTACCAGAGTATGCAATTTCTCAATAGTACTGTGGTGTGAGCTACTAATAAGTAGTATATGACGTGAGTGTCAACGTAATGTCTGGCAGCGGAAGATGAGGGAAGATCAGGAAAGGAAGAGTTACAAGAACACAATGGAATTTGTATGAAACGCATGAATAGTAGTGACAATGGATTGTTGATGTTTTGCAACAGGAACAGTCCAGTTCGATATGATGAACTGATATTTTGCAAATGAACGATTTACGATATGGTTTTCCTATTTTACTGAGTAACTCTGTAATTTTCGTTAAATACAATTCGGTTGCCCCACCTGTGTTCTCGTTCACTACAGTACCACATCAATAACAAATGTTCGGTGAAGTTCAAACTTAAAAGTATCAGGTTAGTCAGCCAGTCAGCTGAAGCATAGAATTTAATAATTACTACGTAGCACACAGAGTTAGAATTGTCAATTCAAATCCCATAGTGGTAGATATGGTAGAGGTATTAGCGGTAATTGAAAATATTAGAAATCGAAGATCTCGTTCGACAAGTATAATCCAATGAAATAAATTTAAAAAGGATCATGAAGAATTCAGAAGATTCGATTTTAGAGGATAACAAGGAATGGATGAATCAGAGTCGCCTATCCCAACCTCGTAGTCTACATCTATTACGATGGAACAGTTCAGTTATCAGTGACTTCATAGATTTTTGCCACGGTTTTTGTTTGGTCAATGCAAACTTTCTTCTAGACTACTACTACTACTACTACTACTACTACTACTACTACTACTACTACTACTACTACACAAAACATTGGCTCGTCAAGTTTGTCAGTGTTTCGCCACGTATAACATATGCCTTAACCACCTCAACTGATGAATATTCACTGATTCATACACTGATCTTCCATGCTTAACCTAGTACCCTTTTCCTAACAATTGAATTGCTGACTCAACTGTCCAAAAATATACGAGCGATGCCTCGAAGACACCTATGATAGTCAGTCAGTCAGTCAGATGCAACGTAGAGCTTCGTACGTAAGTACATCAGTTCATGTTGCCATACCACATCAGCACAGAGACATCGAATTGTCAATTCAAATCCAATAGTAGTAGAGGTAGTAAAGGTATTTATTAGAAGTAATCGAAGAGGTTAGGATTAGAAGATATTATTCAAGAAGTATGATTCAGTGAGAAAAGTTTAGAGAGTCGAAACTAGAGGGGTTGAAGAACCCAGAAGATTAGGATTTGAGAGAGAACACAAAGAATAAATGCACCTATAATAGTAGACTAGTAAGTATTCTACAAATATTTCTCAATTGTTAATGACAAAGTTTCAAAAGCCTGTAAACTACTAACTAGAATGAAGAGAAATACTATGCAATAAACTAGAACCCTGTTATTTAGCAGATAAAAAGTATATCACACGCCTACGCTAATATATATATATATATATATATATATATATATATATATAGTAATGTGAGTAGGCGTTTTACAGTTGTTATCATCACTAAATTAGCATTTTCATTATGTTACAATTATCTAATTACTTTGACAAGATAATTTCATTGCAGATATGTCTAATCTCTATAAATTAAAACAATGAAAATGGCTCCTAGAAGCCTTTGGAGTGTGCAGTGAACAAGTCGAACAATTTCTTTCCATCTAATCACAGCTTGATAGAATTGCTGGAATATCACAATTTCGTGTATAAGGCGATTGTATGATATGCAGCAACAGCACTAATCGCTTATTGCATGATTTTAGTGACATTTTCAATCTTTGTAGTGTAGGAGTAGGTTGGAAGAAAGCTAGGGGCGGCCAAATAAAAACATGGCAGAAATCCATGAATTCATTGATAAGTGGACTTAGCCATGTCGGTAATTGTCGACTACCTGGTTGAGGTCCGCGAGATGATAATAATCGATGGTTAGAGACCTTGAATGACATGGCTCAAAATCGTTCGCAATGGCGCCGATGCATTTATTCTTTATGTTGTCTCTCAAATCCTAATCTTCTGGATTCGTCAGCACCTCTACCTTTATCTTTCTAACCTTATCTAACTGAATTCTACTTCTTGAATAATATCTTCAAACCCTTTAGTCTTCTTCATTACCAATAATACCTCTACACTATCTTTATCACTATGTGGTTTGATTTGACATTTTCGTCTCTGTGCTAATGTGGTGGTATGGCAACCTGAAATGATGTACATACGTACGAATTTGTACGTTGCAACTGACTGACTGAAGGCAAAATATACAAATACACACATACACCACTAACCGAAAATTGAGTAGTCAAATACTATTAGTACCAATAATAATAATAATAATAATAATAATAATAATAATAATAATAATAATAATAATAATCAGCCATAATCTTCTAGACTTTATTTTACACTATTTCTTTAATAAGTATACTTCTCATCACTGTAGTTAGAGTAGGTATTCGTTGTGGACAAAGAGTAAAGATAGGAGGTTGGATAATAATTCAGTAATTGAACATCAAATAATTATCTACTATTCTTATTGATTAGTTTACCGACCGTAGCTGTTATGCTTGACGTGGCGATCGAGCTTGCTTTATCATGATGACCTAACCAAGCTATATTGACTAAAACATATGTTCTTGAAGGTTCTACCATGCTAGGCAGGTCGATTATAGAGAACGGTATGACTAAGAGCAGCAACTTAAGGTCCGACAGCGAAGTCGAACTTCTAACTGTAAAGTGTTTCGCTCGGACAACCAGCATCTGCAGCGATGCTTCTGTCTTCTTACAATGGAAAGAAGGAGTTAAAAGAGGTCGACCCTAAGAATATCACATCTCACCTTATCCTACGGATTTCCGTCTCCGGCAATAAGGCCATTTGAAGAACGGAGCTAACACCTCAAAAATATATCGATTAAAAGGTCGTGCGTGACTGACGTTAAACAGTTGTCCCTCAGGCTCTGTGGTAATGCTCCCAGGTCACTAAGACCAACACTAATCTACCTTTCTTTTCAGGTTCTTCAAGAGACACGCTTTCATGGGTGTCGGTTAGCCGGGAAGTGAGGTCTTCTGACCTTATACTCACAACAACACATGAGACCGAATTGGTCACAATCAATCCTTCCTACACCCTGTTGGCGATTAGTAGTTCACAAGACAAAGATCTAGGCACACTGACGAGTAAATAGAAGATCTATGTACAGAATGAAATAATAACTAACTAACTCTGTAAGGCAGCAAATCCTATTTTTAACTAAAGTATTCAGTTTGATATTATTGGTTTACAGCAGATTCGGCGCTAATTTTAATTAATGTAAATGAGCGCCCTTACTCTCTCTCTCTCTCTCGCTCTAACGCATACACATACGGATACGTGTGGTTAACTTAAAAAAAAACCCAGAGAATATACTACTCTGTTAGACTGAAACTTGAAAAAAAATGTTTATTTTTTTAAGTTCTCAAAATTTCAACACACAAATTAAAAAAATAGTGAAAATTTCATAAATATATATATACATTTTTTTTTCGATACAAAGATTGTTGCTGAAAAATTCAGTATACATACACTCTTAGTTTTTTTTTACTTTGTTGACCTTCATCAAACACGAAGCACATGACCTTGTTCCACATACACACACACAAACACACACACATACTAACAAGGAACAAATTTATAAAACTATGCGTACATACAAACGCACATACACACATACACACTTACACACTTAAAAACTACACCAGAAACACATCAATTACTTATGACAATAAATGAAAGTCACTAACTAACTAACTAGACGAAGAGGAGTGAGAAAAACTACAAATAATAGGAATGTATCAATTAAAAAGTGAGCATTATGGCATTAGAAAAGTGTATTTTTTTTGAAGAAAAATGTAACAGTATTATGGTATGATGTAGGTACGTACGTACGTACGTTAGTACGAAGTTCTAGGTCGTTGTTGACTGATTCATTGACTGACTAACTGACTAATTGATTGACTGACTGACTGACTTAAAACAATGCAATCAATAGATATATATATGTAGGAATACAAAGTAACAAGTACTTTTATGTGCTCAGCTTCGAGTTACATACATACAATTCAAGAATGTGTAGTAGTATATTGAACCTAACGAGCAGGAATTGATATCAGACTCAGTCAGTCAGATGCAACGTAGAACTTCGTACATGAGAGTACATCACTTCATGTTGCCATACCACATTAGCACACAGAGATGTAATTGTCAATTGGTATCCAAAAGTAGAAGAGCGAGTAAAGGTATTAGAAGTAGTCGGAGAGGTTAGGATTAGAAGATATTATTCAAGAAGTATGATTCAGTGAGATAAGGTTAGAAAGACAATGTAGAGGTACTGACGAATCCAGAAGATTAGGATTTGAGAGAGCTCAAAGAATGGATGTACTTGCGCCATTGCAAACGATTTCGAGCCATGTCGTTTAAGGTTCTAACCATCGGTGACTATCGTCTCGCGGACTCCAACCAGGTAGCCTACATCTACCAACATGACTCAGTCCACTTGTCAGTGACTTCATGGATTTGTGCCTTGTTTTGGTCTGGCCACCCCTAGCTTTCTTCCAACCTGCTCCTACACTACAAAACTAAGCTCGGCGAGGCAGTCGGTGGTTAGGCATTCGTAACACATGTCCCAACCACCTCAACTGATGAAGTTTCACCACTTCATCTATTGATCTGCCATCCTTACCTAGCACCCGTTTCCTAACTATAGCATTGCTTACTCGGTTGTCCCACGATATACGAGCAACGCTTGTTAAACATCTATGATCGAACATCTTCTACTCTTTTAACGGCCATGTTAATCTTTAAAACCTCTTTACTGATCAATAAAATTTTGAAAAAAAGAAAAACAGATCGATAGCAAGATCATGTTTCACACTGACACTCTGAAGCAATAATGACATCATCAATCAATCAAAAAAAAATTTTAAAAAATCACTTACTTGTACTAGAAGATTCCGATTTCGCAGTAATTGGCAAAACCTCCACACCATCGGAAGAAGGTAACGGAGGCGGTGGTAATGACAATTGTTGCTGCTGTTGGTGTACACTCGACGCTGGCGGTGCAGATGTCGGTGTACGACTGGAATTCGGTGTCAATGGTGTACCGACTGATGTGGCACTGCTGGAATTACCACCCATTCCACCATTTACATGATGATTATGATTGTGATGATGATGACCACCGGAGAAAGCAGGTGATGCACTTTTTGGACCGTTGACATTAAAATGACTCATTACATTGTTACTATTGTTAGTAGTAGTAGTAGTAGTAGTCGTAGTAGCAGTACTATTATTATGATTACTATGAATACTATGTGGATTCAATGATAATTTATCCTGTTCACTAATAATCAATGATTTATTTTTCACATTGATCAATGATGATGATGAACGTGGTTGCTGTTGTTGTTTTACTAATAATAATTCAGTTAATTCATTCAATTCTTTTGTATGTAAATAATTAGAATCTAATTCATAATTTGGAGCATACAATTCCAGCGATGTGAAACTTTCTTTAATTAATTCAAATAAATCATATTTTAAAAAATTATATAAATCATAATCTTTTTCATGATAACTCAAGGATAAAATAAAATTTAACCATTGATCTATAGTAGGACCAACAACAATATCCCATTGTGATGATATACCATTTTGTGTACGTTCACGATAAAGACGTAAATCTAGGGAGAGAGAGAGAGTGGAGAGAAATTAAACATTGATACACTTAAATGGAAGTATTTGATGCAAAAGTTCAAGTCACAAGGCATCGGTTACAATTATCATATGGACATAGTGTTGGTCTTGGAGACGTGGGTGAATGAACGCAGAGTCCAAGGGACAACTACTTGAGGCCGGTCACGCACGGACTTTTATGAGGTTTTAGAGTATTAGCTCCGCACTTAAAATCCCTTAGTGAGCAGCCTTACCGCTGGAGACGGAAATCCGTGAGTTAGGGGAGGTGTGACATTTTTAGGGCCGACCTTTTCTAACCGCTCCCTTCCTTATGAGAAGGCAGCATCGCTGCAGATGCTGCTTGTCCGAGGGAAACACCTTACTGCTGTCACACCCCTCCACAGTCATTCAGCAGTAAGACTGCGCCCTCAGACCTTGGGTAGCTGCTTTTAGTCTCATCGTTCTCCAATCGACCTGCCTGGCATCGTAGAATCTTCAGGAACATATGTTCCAGCCAGTATAGCTCGGTTGGGTCATCACGAGAAGGCAAGCCCGACCACCATGTCAAGGTAGCAGCTACGGTCTTGAATAATATCTTCTAATCCTAACCTCTCCGATTACTTCTAATACCTTTACTACCTCTACTACTATTGGATTGGAATTGACAATTATATCTCTGTGCTGATGCAGTATGTCAATATGAACTGATGTACTTACGTACGAAGTTCTACGTTGCATCTGGAACTCCAAACAATTTTCAACCAAAACCAAAATCACGATTTTCAATACAAATGTCAAGACAGTTCTACTGTATGGAGCGGAAACTTGCAGAACTACGAAAGCCATCATCCACAAGATACAAGTGTTTATTAACAGTTGCCTTCGCAAGATACTTCGTAATCGTTGGCCAGACACTATCAGCAACAACGTACTGTGGGAGAGAACAAACCAGATTCCAGTGGAGGAAGAAATCAGGAAGAAACGGTGGAAGTGGATAGGACACACATTGCGGAAAGCACCTAACTGCGTCACGAGGCAAGCCCTCACATGGAACCCTCGAGGCAAAAGGAAAAGAGGAAGCCCAAGGAACACATTACGCCGAGAAATAGAGAAAGATGGGTGGCCTATGCTCAATTGGGGGTGACAGGCGTAAGTAATATTCTTTGAATCATATCTTAGACTCGTAATCTTTTCCATTACCTCTAATAGTGCTATAATCTCTACTAACATGGGATTCGAACTGCGAATTCCATTTCCCTGTGCTAATGTAGTATGGCAAACTGAATTGATGTACGTACCTACGTACGTACCATGTTTTACATTGCAGCTAACTGATTGATTGTTGAGCTCTTAGTTTGAATTCAGGATTTTCCAACTCTCCCAGCTGGAGCTTGCTTTTCGTCTTTATTTACTAGGGAATTCCCGATCACTGCCTTCTCACTACCGGGATGTTGTTTATGAAGTTAAGAAGATATCAGCAGCTGAAACCAGGTTGTTAGCTACACAGGATTTACATCCCTGATTTTCAAAATAATGGTACATATGGGATTTAGCATTCTGAAGGAACAAATGACGTATGAACTTATTGTTGGCCGTGTCATTTAACAGCACGTCTGTAACCAACGGTTACGATTATCATGTGGACATGAATTAGGTAGGTGACCATGTTTTGGTCTAGTGGCTGCTAACATTTTCTCAGCCTACTACTACTGTAGTGAACGAGAACACAGGTGGGGCAACCGAATTGTATTTAACGAAAATTACAGAGTTACTCAGTAAAATTGGAAAACCATATCGTAAATCGTTCGTTAATTTGCAAAATATCAGTTCATCATATCGAACTGGACTGTTCCTGTTGCAAAACATCAATCCATTGTCACTACTATTCATGCGTTTCATACAAATTCCATTGTGTTCTTCTAACTCTTCCTTTCTTGATCTTCCCCTCATCTTCTGCTGCCAGAAATTACGTTGACACTCACGTCATATACTACTTATAAGTAGCTCACACCACACTACTACTACTACTACTTCAACTAAAGCAGACAGCATCGCCCGTCAAGGTTTAATCGGTCGTTAAGCATACACATCAACATCACATACCTAACTCACAATAGTCAAATAAATGAGTGACTATCGATAGATACAGTATGGACTGATCAAAGTTAGACACAAACACCATTAGATGACATCGGATCGGCCCAGTGGTTCAAATGTTAAGCATTCGCATGCAACACCGAAGGTCCTGTGGGTTCGAATCCTGCCAGTCACAGGAATCGTAACTATGCACTGCTCACTAACCCAAAAAGGACCGTCTTCCAGTACTTTCAAGTTCTTAATGATAGTCGTTTAACAGATAACTCACTATATATATATATATATTTATATATATATATATATTCTATTTATTGGAATCAATAAAAACAGTGTTAGTAGTAGTAGTACACCTCTTCTTCTCGATATTTTTTTTGTAAACAAGTTTATCTCACGCGAATTACACACAGACACAGACACACACGGACACACACACAAAAGTGTATTGTGATACAAGAAAAAGTTTCAACATGTACGTGTATCAATCAAAATTGAAAGCAAATACAAAAAAAACAAACAAACAGACAATAAAATCATAATGAGTCATGAAAATTATTAGGAATTAAATTTACACCACAATATACTACTACTACTACTACTACTACTAATAACCCTAACCACATTATTACATTTAGTCAAATAACTACCAATCACCATCATCATCATTATCACAGATGTAAATAAGTAAGTAAGTAAGTAAATAAAACCAGACAGACTCTTTTTTTTAATCACGCACAAACAACACACACACACTCCTGTGTTTTCTTTAGGGCTAGTCAGTCAGTCAGTTAGTCAGTCAATCAATCAGAATTTTAGTTTAATTTAATTCATTTTCAAATACACGGAAAACTAATTTCTATTAGTCACCTCTTATAAAATGAATAATACATTCCCTATAGACTAAACAATCAGTTGTAGTAGTAGTAGTAGTAGTGCGTACTAGTAACATGAGGCGCAGTATGACTAGAAGTGAGTGAGTAGTCACAGTGTGGTGTGTGTGTGTGTGTTATTGGTTGGTTTTCTGTATTTAACAGTTGTAAATAAATAATTTATCTACTACTACTACTCAATAATGCATTTATTTTAATGAAATATATGCACGTCCTGTTTCTCTTCCTCTGTCTCACTCGCTCACTCTCGCGCGCTCTCACTCAGTTTATTCACTATTGTGAATAGACATTGAACACATTGAACAAAAACCAATGGATAACGAATAGAGATTTTTTTTTTAAAAAGGAGAAAGAATCAACCCATCAGACAGAGTAGCCAGTAGTAGTAGTAGTCGTGGTAGAGCAGAAAACCAAAAATAGAACAAGAAATCGACAGTGTGTACATGTCAGTCAGTCAGTCAGTCCGATGCAACAACGTAGAACTTCGTACGTAAGTACATCATCAGTTCATGTTCTCCTACCACATCAGCACACAGAGGTGTAATTGTCAATTCAAATCCAATAGTAGAAGAGGTTGTAAAAGTATTAGAAGTAGTCGGAGAGGTTAGGATTAGAAGATATTATTCAAGAAGTATGATTCAGTGGGAAAAGTTTACAAAGTTGAAGAATCCAGAAGATTAGGATTTAAGAGAGAACACAAAGAGTGGATGCACCTGCGCCACTGCAAACGATTTTGAGCCATGTTATTCAGGGTCTCTAACCATCGATTATTATCGTCTCGCGGATCCCAACCAGGTAGTCGACAATTACCGACATGACTCAGTCCACTTGTCAGTGACTTCATGGATTTCTGCCATGTTTTGTTCTGGCCACCTCTAACTTTCTTCCAACCTACTCCTACATCACAAAACATAGCTCGTCGAGGCAGTCATTGGTTAGGCATACGTAACACATGTCACAACCACCTCAACTGATGAAGTTTTAATAATTTATCTACTGATCTGCCATCCTTACCTAGGACCCGTACTAAGTACGTAGAGCAGAAAACCAAAAACAGAACAAGTAATCGACAGTGATTATACTTTTTTTTCTTAAAAATAAAACAAGACTAAACAAAACGTCGATGATGATGAGAAGACATGTTTCTGTGATTCCTTTTCTGTATATACATTTCTTTCAATTGTTACACTTTGAAAGATAACAACCTTTTAATGAGAAATAAGTAGATAAGCTGTGTGTATCTGTTAATAAATTACTTTCCAACGTGAATCCATTCATTAATGTGCAGAAGTTCACTCCGTCGTACTATATTGATACGAAACATGGTCGGTTAGAGTTAAGAATATATTCGTAGGTTATTAGTATTCGATTATAGATGTCTTCCAAGCATTGCTCGTATATCTTGGGACAACCGAGTTAAGCAATGCTATTGTTAGGAAACGAGTACTAGGTTAGGAATGGCAAATCAATTAAAGTATTGAAACTTCATCAGTTGAGGTGGTTGGGACATGTGTTATATACACCCGACCGCCGACTGCCTAGATGAGGGATGTCTTGTGGTGTAGCAGTTGGCTAGAAAATAACAAGGAGAGGCGAAACCAAAAACATGGCAGACATCCGTGAAGTCACTAATAGTTGGACTGACTATATTGATAGATGCAAACTGCCTGGTTGGGGGTACGCGAAACAAGAGTAACCGATGGTTAGAAGAGACCTTGACATGACATGACTTAAAATCGTTTGCAATGTCTCCGATGCATTCATTCTTTGTCTTCTCTGAAATTCTAATCTTCTGTGGCATTGCAAACGATTTTGAGCCATATCATGTCAAAGTCTCTAATCATGGGTTATAATTACTGTCTCGCAGACCCTAACCTGGTAGTGTCTACACTTACCAACAGTTCATTTATCAGTGATTTCATCGATTTGTACCATATTCTGGTTTGATTGCCCTCTTCTGCTTCCTTCCAACTCACTCGTACATCACAAAACATACTTCATCTAGGCAGTCGGTGTGTGTGGATATTGTAGGATAGATTTACATAGACAGTTTCGTAATATTGAAGCTTAGCTTACAGTAAGCAAACACCAGAAGTGTACAAGTATTTATTGACAAAGTTCAATTCATTTAAACTCTGCCCTAGGAGTTAGATGGTCACAAGGTCCACACAGCCTTTCCGACAACCACAGCTCTTCCATGGTGTATGCAGCTTGGGAAGTAACATTCGCCCTTCACACACACACACACACACACAAGATCAAATCGATTTATAATTTCATACAATTAAAAATAATATACACTTCTTACCATCCATATAATAATAACTACATCCTTGAGCATCTTGACCAGCTTTAATTAAAACATTGACATCTTCTGTGTCATCATTGAATCCTTCATTATTAATATTATTATTGTTATTGCTATTGTGATTACATTCATCAGTGCCTGATCCTCCTAGATCACCGCCACTACCACCGCCACCAGCAGCAGAATTATTGAATAAATCTTGTGTATCCATTCGGTCAAGACCACCGGCGCCAACCGAGCCATTCGTACCACGTACACCGCTGCCACTGCTGCCGCCGCCACCTGTACCACCACCACCAACAGCAGTAGTAGTAGTAGATGTAGTTGTCATTGATGAACTATTGAAACATGTAGTAAAATTAAAATCTGGCTGTTCATCATACACCGATTCAATTAAATTATCCAACAATGCAGCTCTAGCCGCTGGTCCTAATTGATGTACTAGTTTTCCATTACGATGACGTTGTATATTAATCCGATATGAAGTACGTTTATCAATAGCAAAACGATCTAATGCTTGATCAATTGTTGCTATACAAATTTCAGGATTATCATGATTTAAATAGCGTAGAATACGTGCAGCTAAATCACAAAATGCTACAGGGTCAGGATCTTTTAATACTTTTTGATAGAGATCCTTTATGTAAGAGAGAGAGAGAAGAGAGAAAAACAAAAGAAAACAAGTTAAGTTTTATGCAAAAAATAAAAATAAAGCTGATTATCAGTAATCATTTAGACATAATAAAGTTATTGGTACTTAATGGGGGAAGCCACTCTTTGAGTCTTTTTGATCAACAAATCTAATCCAAAGGTTAGTGAAGCAACGTAGAGGAGATGCAATCAATCATATGGGTAGCCAGCGACCAATAGTAGGTTCATGCGCCATTTATTGCTCCTCACCCCCCCACAGGATCCTGAAGGCTATCATCGGTTTTCCAACTTGTCTGTATGTAGCTTCTTCATACTGCTGCTCATCAACCGGGTTTAAGTGCTGGACATTCAATTTTTCCACCCCTCAATTTCATAACCAACACTTGTAACATGGGACTTCCCTAGCAATGGCTACTATATTGGCATGGCCATGAGTGAGCATTTCCAGAGAGAGCGAGAGTGGAATGTCCTCACTGTCGATGGTAGCTTGTCATTTGGAGGTCGATATTAAATTGATTTTAAAACTGCATTATACTATCTACAGAGTAGTAGTAGTAGCGAAAATCTCATGTTATTGAAATATAAACATCATACCATTTTACCAGACCTGACCTACAATATTCAATATGCATGCTACTACATCTCGAATCATATCTTCACTCCATAATCTTCTCCATCACCGCCTAATACTTCTACGATCTCTATCACTATAGGATTTGAACTGACTATTGTGTATTTGTGCTGATGCAGTATGACAACTTGAACTCATGTACGAAGTTCTACATTGTAACTGACTGACTGGACTGATTGATTGATGCATACCAGAAATGAGAAAATAAATTTGACCGAGTTGTATCATTTTTTCCCTACGATAAATCCATGTTATTCATTCAGTGATGAAATGTCATACACTCAACAAAATAACATTTATATGCATATAGACAGACAGATACAATGCAGAACTTCGTACATTAGTACATCAGTTCACGTTGCCATACCATATTAGCACAGAGACGTAACTGTCAGTTCAAATCCAAGAATGATAGCGATAGTAGAAGCATTAGCAGCAATGGAGAAGATTAGGGAACGGAGATATGATTCGAGAAGAATAATTCAGTGAGATAAATTTAGAAAGAGAAAGCTAGAGGTGATGAGGAATTTAAAAGGTTAGAATTAAAAAGAACACAAAGAGTGGATGCACCTGCGCCATTACAAACGATTTTGAACCATGCTGTTCAAGGTCTCTAACCATTGGTGACTTTCATCTCGCAGACTCCAACCAGGTAGTCTACATCTACCAACATGACTCAGTCTACTTGTCAGTGACTTCATGGATTTCTGCCATGTTTTAGTCTGGCCGCCCCTAGCTTTCTTCCAACCTACTCCTACACCACAAGACATAGCTTGTCGAGGCAGTCGGTGGTTAGGCATTCGTAGTAACACATGTCCCAAACCACCTAAACTGATGAAGTTTCATATATGTGACAACGAGATGAAGAGAGAGAAAGAGAACAAAAATCAAGCTTTCCTTGGTTTCAAATCGCCCTCCTACATACTTTTCAAGGAAAATTTAAACAAAATCACCTGTTTGTTGTTGTCGTTGTTGGTGATGTCTAATTGGCTTAGTTTAACACTAATCACATACTAACAATACACCAATGAGATTCAATGAAATATTATTATTATTATTATTATGATTACATAAGCGACAAATCAAATGATGTTATGTTGTAATAAAATTAATTAATGTTTTTTTTTCTTACTTTTGTCGTGAAAAAAAACAAACAAACAAAGTCATAAGACGTGAGAGAGAGAGAGAGAAAAAGAGAGATCAACACAGAATAGTTTGTAGAGAAAATTGTTTTTTCCACCAATTCATTTCACAGTAAAATAATGTGTGTGTGTTATGAAATTGTAGTTCATCTATCTATCTATCTATCAATCTATTTATCGATATGTGTTAGTCGATTAGAAATGGATAGAAAGTCGTTTTCAACAACCACAACACATGGTCTAATTAATAAGCAGCATATTTTGTTGCGTACGCGCACGCACGCACGCATACATACACACACATACACACATACACGGACACTATTTGCAAGGGTAGTTGATAGTTTAACAAATAGAATGAATCTATTTCAGTTACCTCGATAGAGAAGAAGAAGAATACAACTCAAAAAACATGAAATGATCAATATGTGTGAACGAACAAAGGCCATTCATACAAGATGCTAAAATCTATTTAGACTGACTAAATCAATTATAACACAACACATCAATTGTGTGAAGATTCACACCATTACAGAAGTGAGTGAGTAATTGAAGCCAGTTAGATAAAAGTGTGGATAACGCAATGGGTGTATGAAGCATACGATGCTGAGTTCGAGTCCCAGGACGAACATCAACACCCCGTGACAAATGCCACCTACCTGATAGGAAGGAATGCCGGTGCTAGATTCTCTTGATTCTGACTGCCCTGAGCAACAATGCAAGCATGTTCGGGATGCGGTTTTCCCCCTTGAAATGCAAAACGTTGCTTCAAGATTGGGTTGCGTCGGCACCTGAACTAGTGATAGGGAGTGAAGTAGTCAAACGTGTTGATCACTTCACTTATCTGGAGAGTCTCATCAGCGCTGATGGCCTGATGACTGGACGAAACCTCAGCGCGTATACAGAAAGCTCGATTTGCTTTTGCCAACTTATGGCGTAGGCGAGATATCCGTTCGCTAACCAAAGGACGGGTGTACTGCGCAGAAGTTCGCTCCGTTCTCCCATATGGATGAGAAACATGGCCTTTAAGAGTAGATGTTTGTAGGTTACTAGTATTCGATCACGGATGTCTTAGAAGCATTGCTCGTATATCCTGGGACACCCGAGTGAGCAATGCTGTTATTAGGAATCGGGTGCTAGGTAACGATGGCAGATCAATAGATGAAGTAATGAAACTTCATCAGTTGAGGTGGTTGGGACATGTGTTGCGTATGCCTAACTACCGACTGCCTCGACAAGCTTTGTTTTGTGGTGTAGGAGTAGGTTGGAATAAAGTTAGGGGCGGCCAGACCGAAATCTATGAAGTCACTGACAAGTGAACTGAGTCATGTTGGTAGATGTAGACTACCTGGTTGGGGTCCGCGAGACGATGGTAAGAGACGTTGAACGACATGGCTCAAAACCGTTTGCAATGGCGTGAGTTTATTCTTTGTGTTCTCTCAAATCCTAATCTTCTGGAATCGTCATCACCTCTACCTTTATCGTTCTAACCTTATCTCATTGAATTATACTTCTTGAATAATATCTTCAAACCATTTAGTCTTCTTCATTACCATTAATACCTCTGCTATCTCTATCAGAATGGGATTTGATTTGACATTTGCGTCTCTGTGCTAATGCTGCGTGCGGTATGGCAACCTGAACTTATGTAGTACATACGTACGAAGTTCTGCGTTGCAACTGACTGACTGACTGACTGCTACAATTACATTTTATTTCATATCTTATCAACTTTCAAAATTGATATAAACCAGTTTATTTTAAATTAATTATTATTAAAAATTCATTAATACATCTTAATCACATAAAAAAAATGTTATTATGTATTGTGTTGTAATTGATAATAACAGTAGAGAATATGACGGAAAAAAAAGACAATACATTTTAACAAGCCAATCATTTGTGTCTCTCTCTCTCTACACTGATTGTTCACTTTCCTCATGCGCTCTTGAAGAGAACAGTAAGTGTACTAATAACTGAACTGTGAACAAATCAAAACACTAGAATATTACGGTATTACATTACAGCATTATTACATGGCTAGGTATGTGTACATTATTCAAGTATAAAACATACAATAACGCGCGCACGTACACACACACACAGTATAGTTCGTGTGTGTGTGTACACAAAATTACAAGTCTTTCAAATCAATCCATTGAAAGACAGAAAGTATTATTTTAACAACTATTACTGTACTTTCTCGCGCACTGATACATACATACATGCACACACATACATGAAGAGTAATGTTGTCAGTGTTAATGACTAAGTGTGTGTATGCGTGTGTGTGTACATGTGTGTGTAACACACCAACCTTTGTTTTCAGCGAAGAATCATTGTGATACATAATTATAGTTGACAATTAATAAATAATATACAACGATGATCTTGTTACACTCAAATTCAAAGTATGGAGATTCAAGCTTACAAGCTACTGCTCATTACGAAATGAAAGACAAGTGAGTTGCACACCATTCGTCCGACCGCAGCAGCTATCTTGACGTGGTGATCGGGCTTGCCTATAGTGATGACCCAATTGAGCTATATTGGCTGGGACATATGTTCTTGAAGGTTCTGCCATGCCAGACAGGTTGATTGGAGAACGATGAGACTAAAAGCAGCTACTGAAGGTCTGAGGGCGAAGTGGTACTGCTGACTACTGCAGAGGGGTGTGACAGCAGTAAGGTGTTTCCCACGGACAACCAGCCTTCTCACAAGGAAGGAAGTGTTAGAAAATGTGGATCCTAAAAATGTCACACCTCACCCTACCTCATGGATTTCCGTTTCTGGCGGTAAGGGTGCCCACTAAGGGCTTTTAATAAGAGCGGAGCTAATAGTAAAATAACTTCTCATAAAAAGGTTGTGCGTGACCGGCCTCAAACAGTTGTCCCTTGGGCACTGCGGTCACGTAACCAGATGTCTAAGACCAACTCTAATCCACCTTCCTTTTGAAGGTTCCTCAAGAAACAACCTTTCACAGTGTGTGCAGCCAGGAAGTGACAATCGCCCTCATACCCGTAACAGCAGGCGAGACCAAATTGGTCAAAATCAAATCCTTCACAACACTCTTGAATGCCCTTAACTGTGTACCCACACAATCAACAAGAATACATTTATGTCAATGATAAAATCAACCAAAATTGTGTGAAGCAAACAGAGCCTACAATTAAAAAAAACATGACACAATACACATAGACGATGTGTTATAAT